ATGACCTCCAAGGTCCCTTCCAACTCTATTCCGTAACTAAAGTTATCATGGCAATGAATGGAAGCAAGAGAGTCAAGGAAGTACACACACACACACACATACACACTCCGTAAGGCTGATGCAGCGGGCAGCTGAAAAACATGCCTTCAAAACAGCTGGGGACTTTCAATTCCCTTATATTTTATGTGAAGGATATCTTGAGAATCTTTAATGTTCTGCAGGGACCTCATTCCATTCCCCTCATTATGTATTTATTTTATTTACTTATTTCAACATTTTAAAGCCTGCCCAACTTGGACACTGTGTCTCCGGGTGGCCTATAATAAAACACACAATAATAGCATGTTGATGAGGATTAGGATCCTGCTTTTATGCTTCATTATAAGCTCTTCAGGCAGGGAGCGCTGACTTGTAAAAGTGCCACAAAGACCGACGATGTGTATGAATGACAGATAATAAGAATGACCACTAATAGCGATGTAATAATAATCGCTGAGAGTGATGCCATCTGCTTTGCCCTGGTAGTGATAGTTAATAGCAATACTCTCCGGTTTCCTTAGTTATTTATTCATGAATGAAATCATCCTTTTTCCAAGAAAGAGGTTAAAAGGTGCACATATGGCTTTGTTTTTAGCAGGTGCATTGCACTTTTTTTTAAAAAAAATTGATTTATATGCCGCCTTTCTCCGGAGACTCAGGGTGGCTTACAATACGTTAAGCAATAGCCTTCATACTTTTGTATATTTATACAAAGTCAGCTTATTGCCCCCACAAACTGGGTCCTCATTTCACCTACCTTAGAAAGGATGGAAGGCTGAGTCAGCCTTGAGCCTCGTAAGATTCGAACCTGCAGTAATTGCAGGCAGCTGTGTTAATAACAGGGTGCTTTAGACCACTGTACTACCAAGGCTCTTACTGTAGGCACCGTTTTAGGTGAGTTGATTCCATTGTGGGAAAGAAATATCTTTCAGACAGGCGACTTTTCGGCCTTGGGGGCTGTTTATTAAAATAAACAATTCAGCTATTTTATCTCCTTCTTGGTGAATTTGCTGTGATAGGAAAGAAGATGGACAATGGCAAAGGCAGGAAGGATAAATATGGAAAACAACATTTATCTGCAGCCATCATAATGTATGAAGTGTAGAAGCCATGGTGCAATAAATACCCTCCAATAGCTACAACTTGTATTGTGTTCAGGTACTTATTAAACATTTTAAGCTGCCCAATTATTTGCGGTTTCTCTTCAATTTAATTAAAATGGCTTAGTCTGATTATGTCCTTGAATAGGTAAGTCCTTGATTTACAACAGCTTCTTTAGTGACCGTTCAAAGTTACAACGGCACTGAAAAATGTGACTTATGACCGTTTTTCATAGTTACGACTTTTGCAGCAGCCCCATGGCCATGTGATCAAAATTCAGATGCTTGGCAACTGGTTCATACTTATGACCTTTGCTGTGTCCCAGGGTCACGTGATCCCCTTTTTGCGACCTTTCGACAAGCCAAGCCAATGGGGAAGCCAGATTCACTTCACAACCGGGTTACTAATTTACCAACTTAACGGTGGCAAGAAAAGTCTTAAAGTGGGGCAAAACTCATTTGAACAAATATCTCATTTCATGTCAAGATTTAACGACATAAATCTTGTTTGTGGTTGTAAGTCGAGGACTACCTGCAATAGCCAAAGGCTGGGTTCTAGGTAGTTCTAGGCAGTTCTAGGCTGGGTTCTAGGTAGTTCTAGGCTGGGTTCTAGGTAGCAACTTTAAAACCTAAAAAAAAATAAAAGTTCCCCAAACATGGAAGAATTTCTGTAGGTCAGCTTCTTAAAAAGAAGAAGGGATTGGATAACCATTTGTCTGAAATGGTATAGGGTCGTGATGGCAAACCTATGGCACACGTGCCAGAAGTGGCACACAGAGGCTTCTCTGGGCATGTGTGCCATCGTCAGCTGCTCTTCCGGGTTCTGTCATACACATGCACACTGGCCAGTTGCCCCATTCTGGGTTCCGGTCTTTGAGACCAGCTAGGCGGTGTGCATGCACGTGACGGAACCCAGAAAAGCACCTGGCTGCCCCATACATGCTCACCAGCCAGCTGTTTTATTCCGGGTTCCAGTGCATGCACACTCCAGTTTTGGCACTCGGTGCTGAAAAGGTTAACTACCACTGGTGTGAGGTTTCCTGCCTAAGCAGGTGTTGTGGCCCGTCACGGCCTGTGTAGCTTGTAGCTGATTCCGACAGCGAGGAGGCTGGTGTGGTGCTGTGCCAGCAGCCTGTGCAGCTGGCACTCGAGTCAGACAATGAGGAGGCTGGAGAAGATGTGATGCCAGAGGCAGGGATTCAGCCAGGGCCTTCAGAACCTCCAGAAGCTCCCATAAGTGAAGAGGAAGAAGAGGAGGAGCCTCTTCTCAATGCACGGGCGCGCAAAGCTGCCAAAAGGCAGGAGTGGCTCCTCAGGAGGAAGTCTCCTCGAGAGTAAGGCTTGGGGCTAATTGGCCACTC